CAACGCGTCGACGTAGGGGTGACGTACTTCCGGTTCCGGGTTCGGACGCCATCTTGGGACTCCTGTATATACCCATTAGTATATGGGAAACTGCTTGTCAAATCGTGAGGACATGTGAGTTTAATGTTCCACTGCATTGGATTACCTTAATAAAACGTTGTTGCACTATGGAGGTTTGTTTTATCGTTTTATATGAATCGCTCTGAGCCTGAGTCCATTGTGTGAGGGGTATTGGATATTATTTACTGCCTGGAGGAGGATCTTGGTCGGAGGTGGCAGTGGAGGAGAGGTTTACCTGGCAAAGTGGAGTAATTGGAGAGGTACTTACTGCCTGGAGGTGGATTATGGTCGGTGGAGGCAGTGGAGAACATCTAACAGAGAGAGATATATAAAAAAGCTCTGTGACCCGCAAGGGTCGAATGTGGAAGGTGAGGGGGCATTTCTGCTATTGAGGGGAGTCACGTCAAGATTTACACGAAGAGCACTATTTGCAGCATGGAGTGACATTATTTTGAACACTTTGTCATTAATTTTCACAGTGTGGCATCACCATTTATTTTAATCATTGTATTTCACTTTCTGCACAGTTTAAGAGATATAAGTTTTCACTATATCACCAGGGATATATATTTGTTATGTGTATGAAGATATTGCACTAGTTTTATTTAATATTTATTATTTGTATTATTGAGAGATACATAGTAAGTCTGGCTGAAAAAAAAAACAAAAGTCCATGCAGTTCAAATATTAAAAGGAAAAAAAAAAAAGTTATAATCATATACCCACAGTTGATCCAGAGGAAGACAAAAAAACCCAGCAAAGCATGATCCAATTTGTTCCTTCAGGGAAAAAAACTCCTTCCTGATCCCCCGAGAGGCAATCGGATATTCCCTGGATCAACTTTACCTATAAATGTTAGTATCCAGTTATATTCTGTGTATCTAAGAAAGAATCCAGGACTTTTTTTAAAGCAATCCACTGAGCTGACCAGAACCAACTCTTGAGGGAGTCTATTCCACATTTTCACAGCTTTCACTGTGAAGAAACCTTTCCGTGTTTGGAGATTAAGTTTCTTTTCCTCCAGGCATAAAGAGTGCCCCCTTGTCCTCTGTGATAACCCCATCTAATGAATCTGCCTGGTGAAATTTGAGACTGATTTATATTAAATTAAAATCTGTATCATGGCAAAAGTCAAAAATACCCCCAGTCAGTTCACAGTCTGAGCCATTAAATGTTTTTACTCAGGACCCATCCAGACTTCCACCCGCCCACCCACTCCTTCTGTTTTCACCATTGGAAGTCGGATTAATATGTATGTGTTCTGTAGAACAAATAGTTACAGCCCAATTTATAATCCATCTCCTAAAGCATTTCTGAAGACTTTTAATGCATTTATCTTTTATCTAACCTGTTGGCCTTTTCAAAATGATTTACTGAAAATCTCAAAAACAAAGTTATGCTCAAATGTGATCCAGATTCTTTATCATCCAATACATAACCGCTGTGAGCAAATATCGGGTCTTCTTAGCAACTGAGATCAGGAGAGTCCTAACAATATCAATGGTTGGAAAATAACAAAGCCACACTCTATGTTCACAGTAATTGTTAAAAAATCATGTTTTGGAGTTCCAAGTGGCCCCCTTCATTGGGGCTGCAAAGCAAAAACAAGAAAAACACCTTGATTAACATTGTTCATAGTCTCAAGACTGGAAACATTCACAAATTAAGCCTTGTCTTTGTAAAATAAAATGGGGTTGTTAAAAGTAGATATGTGTGTTTCGTTTTGTAAAAAATTAAATTTTGCCCAAAAATTTGATTCTCAGAGATTCGGATGTATACGAATCTTCAAATGGACATAGTAACAAAATTAAAGAATGCATTAATTTCACTGATATCACATGATGCCATAGTAGTTTGAGCCCATGGGGAAATTAATTAAATTTTGCAATTTGTTTGATAATTCATATTTAAGTAAATTTGTGATTTAAAATGAATTTTTAATTGTTACAATCAGTCAGTTCAGATGCAAAATCTAATGCAATTCTTAGGTTTGAAGCATTTGGAACTGCTAAAATATTGATCCTTCAGAATAGTTTTGATATATGAATAAGGAATCCACCCAAAATATATAGCAATCTTTTGAAAACCTTTTTTTTAATAACCTCGGACCAACGAATGTACGAAGAAAATGCCGAAGATATGAAATGAATCTCGAAAATTAATCAGTTCAACATAACGAATATGACAAAACAAAATTCTTAAATTTGTGATTTAAATTGAATTTTTAATTGTTACAATCAGTCAGTTCAGATGCAAAATCTAATGCAATTCTTAGGTTTGAAGCATTTGGAACTGCTAAAATATTGATCCTTCAGAATAGTTTTGATATATGAATAAGGAATCCAACCAAAATATATAGCAATCTTTTGAAAACATTTTTCGAATCACCTCGGACCAACGAATGTCTGAAGAAAATGCCGAAGATATGAAATGAATCTCGAAAATGAATCAGTTCAACATAACGAATATGACAAAACAAAATTCTTAAATTTTTGATTTAAATTGAATTTTTAATTGTTACAATCAGTGAGTTCAGATGCAAAATCTAATGCAATTCTTAGGTTTGAAGCATTTGGAACTGCTAAAATATTGATCCTTCAGAATAGTTTTGATATATGAATAAGGAATCCACCCAAAATATATAGCAATCTTTTGAAAACATTTTTCGAATCACCTCGGACCAACGAATGTACGAAGAAAATGCCGAAGATATGAAATGAATCTCAAAAATTAATCAGTTCAACATAACGAATATGACAAAACAAAATTCTTAAATTAATGAATGCATCAAAAATGAAACAAAAATGTCAAGTGTGCACATGTCTAGTAAAAAAAAAACAAAAAAAACAGACTATTACATGTATATTTCTAGAAATACAGTATATACAGTATGTTAAATCTGCATGTGCAAAACTCTTAAATCAATTTCAGAAAGTCTTCCACCTGGGACATAAAGCTAGACATCCCAGTACATAATTAATCTCCTTAATTGCCAGCATTCATTGGTTCTAATAAATTCTACAGTCCCACTGTATTTTACAAATAAAATTCTTATCATCTAATTTTATATTGGGTTGGACAATCAAAGGTCCCTCTTGTGAACTTCAATGCTTCCTGAAGCCTGATAGACACAATGGGGTAGATTTGTAAAAATTGGATCACTCAGAATCTGGGGCAATTGAGCATGGCAGCCAATGATTTTCTAACGTCAGGTATTATTCGATTAAGGAACAGAAAAAGGGCGCACCGACCTAGTGCATTAACGTTTAAAATATTTATTGAAGAAACAAAGTAAGTATCATACTCACAATGGACATAAAAACACAGGCATGTCAAACTGAACAAGATGTATGATCCAAACAACATCTTAGTCCATACAATGGAACCCTGGATGACCAACTGGCTAACGCGTTTTGAGGACACAACCTTTTCCTCAGAGCCATCGGTTGGCTCTGAGGAAGAGGTTGTGTCCTTGAAACGCATTAACTAGTTGGTCATCCAGGGTTCCATCATATGGACTCAGATGTTGTTTGGATCATACATCTTGTTCAGTTTGACATGCCTGTGTTTTTATGTCCATTGTGAGCATGATACTTACTTTGTTTCTTCAATAAATATTTTAAACGTTAATGCACTAGGTCGGTGCGCCCTTTTTCTGTTTCTCCATTTGCATCCAGTGTATTTGGACCACCCCGGTCTGTGGAGGGCAGCAAGCAGTGCATATTCCAGAAAATTCCAGAACATTCCTATTGGGTCTACTGAGTCCTTTCCTAGCGCAGGAGTAAAGTGTTTGTTGTGTTGGATTATTCGATTAAGCTTTGGTAATAAAATCTGGAGTCTGTTTGGATTCTATGCAAATTTGCACCAAATTGTACACTCTCCAGCTTTAGAAAATAACCCCTTATAAGTTTTTTTTCATTCAACCCAGAGGGCAGATCCAAAAACCCTGAGAGATCACTGTACTAACACAAGCGATATTAGTACAGCGCTCTCCCCCACTGTGCTATTATATTTTAACAGTGGGACCGCTCCAGGGGCGGACTGACCATTTGGAAACTCGGGCACTGCCTGAGGGCCTGGGGTCAGTAGGGGGCCCCATGACATGCCCCTAGTACCTTTTTCATAGGCTTTTTTTAGTTTGGGCAAGGGCACAGGTGCCCTATGATCCCCTATTGCCCGGGGGCCCCATGAGTTGTCAGTCCACCCCTGGACCACTCCACTGCCTAGAACACACCAGTCAGCACTCCCAGCCATTGACTGCAAGCACTGATTGGATGCCGGTTGGCTGCTAATTTTCCAGCATGCTCGTTAGACAGAGGCCGGTCCTGAGATCAGCTTCTGGTGGAGAGGCAGCTGTACACACAGGCGAAAATCTGACTGGTTTCTACTGTACTGGCTGATTTCAGTTGATACTCGATGTGTCTGTATCTGGCTTTAGAAGGAACCAGCACTTCTACCCTGAATAAACAAAAAAAGGCATTCAGTTATGGGGAAGTATGACCAGCACTTGTAGGTAATTGAAACATGGGTCCCATGCTTACATTATGTTTGTTGATAATCTGTATTGAGAGAAATAGAAGGGCGACCATTTTTTATCCTGTTGTGAAAACACTATCTGACTGGCTATTTCTGACTTCTATATCACTGACCCAGAATAACCATGACTAATGTTGGGTAAAAGTCAGAACTCTTGCATCATTCTTGGGTCACAAACTCACACACTTGCTCAGGTCAGTAGATCAAATTGTTGAAGCCAGTTGGTCTGCATACGAACCAGAAAATAAAAATTAAAAAATTGCTAGCATTGGCAGCCTGTGTCTTTCTTTCAGTACAGATCCCCTTCCTAAAATGTATAATTGTTTACCTTTTCATGGTATATACACATTATATTATAAAAAAAAATGAAACTTTTTTGAAGTCTTACATTTATTGCTTCTCTTACAGATGTCTCGGTTAGCCTGCTCTCCGTTATTGTCACCTTCTGTGGAATTGTTCTTCTTGGAGTCTTGCTCTTTGTCTCCTGGAAATTATGTTGGATACCATGGAGGGACAAAGGTTCTTCTCAGACTCATCGCAAAGATCATGGACACCATGGGCATCTTCACCACTCTCACTATGGGGACTTGTTGGTGGATAGGGTAGAGCTTGGAGTTGAGATGCCTGAACGCTCTTATTTAGATATGGACTCTTACCCAGAAGCCAACATTAAAATCAGTCAGACGTCCCCAGACATACCAGTAGATAGCCAGGGTGTGGCCAAGGAATCTCAGATGCCTTATGCACAGTCACACCAGCAAGTTGCAAATATTGCTCCTACTAACAGGTGAGTTGGATTTTGCACCAGTTTTATCCTAGCATAGTATTGTTTGTTTGTTTTCATTATAAATGGTTGGATATGTTTACACTGATTGTGTTTTGTATTATATTCTGGAACTGGAGAGAGTTTTGAGGAGCACAATAAAATGAATGAATGAAGGGGTCATGGAGGAACAGTGAGTGGTCCTGCTAAACTCGACATTGGGGATAGTTTTTTCCACAGCATGTGTGCACCCCTATCCGCTGCCTTTGTAGCTTAAGGGGGAGCAGCTGGCAGTCAGTAAAAACACGGCTTAACCTTGTGTTTTTACTTCCTTTCTATGCAAGTGTAAATCAGCCCTAACCAGGGGCGGACTGACCATTTGGAAACTCAGGCACTGCCTGAGGGTCCGGGGTCAGTAGGGGGCCCTATGAGATGCTCCTGGTACCTTTTTTCATAGGCTTATTTGAGTTTGGGCAAGGACACAAGGGCCCCATGATCCCCTATTGCCCGGGGGCCCCATGAGTTGTCAGTCCACCCGTGGTCCTAACTGATCTATTGGCAGGCTGGGTTTGGTTCTTTGATCAAACATAACTGCTTATCTTCAGGGAAGAAATTGTGGGGTCACAGACAAAACAGTGCTCTTACTCTTGGAGAAGAATAAGGGGGGGTGGTTAGAAGGGTGGGGTGGGGGTTAAAAGGGTAAGGGGGGGCTGAAACACAAGTCTGGATGAACAGAATTTCCAAATCTTTGTCAGCTAAGGCAGTCCACATACATGACACAAAACCCTGTATGGATAGTAGACTCTGTCCAAGCCACGCCATTGACGTGTTTCACTCTGGCCAATGTGCTTAAGCCCCATGGGCAGGGCAAAACATGTTGGGGGCATGGCCTGCACAGAATCTGGGCTGAGGCTGCTCTTACTATCCGCACAGGGTTTTGTGTGATATGGGGCATTCTGGATTCCCTCTTTCCCCTGTTTGCATTCATAGAGCTGAGACAAGCTCCTTCCCTACCTGCACTCTCAGCAGCTGATAGCAGATAAGGACTTACTGGAGCTTTGAGTGGCACCCTTCATCTTTGTATGAGTTTACAGTCCACATACACTCACTGGCCACTTAATTAGGTACACCTTGCTAGTGCCAACAAAATCTCCCCCACACCATGACACCACCAGCCTGGACCATTGATACAAGGCAGGATGGATCCACCACACCATGACACCACCACCACTAGCCTGGACCATTGATACAAGGCAGGATGGATCCACCACACCATCCACCTGAACCATTGATACAAGGCAGGATGGATCCACCACACCATGACACCACCACCAGCCTGAACCATTGATACAAGGCAGGATGGATCCACCACACCATGACACCACCACCAGCCTGAACCATGGATACAAGACAGGATGGATCCACCACACCATGACACCACCGCCACCAGCGTGAACCATTGATACAAGGCAGGATGGATCCATGCTTTCATGTTGTTTACGCCAAATTCTGACCCTACCATCTGAAAGTCGCAGCTGAAGTCAAATGCCCATTCTCCTCTGACCTCTGACATCAACAAGGCATTTTCATCCACACAACTGTCGCTCACTGGATATTTTCTCTTTTTCAGACCATTCTCTGTAAACCCTAGAAATGGTTGTGTGTGAAAATCCCAGTAGATCAGCAGTTTTTGAAATACTCAGACCAGCCCGTCTGGCACCAACAACCATGCCACGTTCAAAGTCTCTTACATCCCCTTTCTTCATTCTGATGCTCGGTTTGAACTTCCACAAGTCATCTTCACCACCCCTAGATGCCTAAACGCATTGAGTTTCTGCCATGTGATTGGCTGATTAGCAATTTTTGTTGCCAAACAATTGAACAGGTGTACCCAATAAAGTGACCGGTGAGTGTACATGTATTACAGTGGTACATTCAGCCATTTGCATGGATTTCAGTTGGAACCATTCACTTTCCCATTTATTGTTTCTACTAATGGTTATGTTTCCAATCACATCAGTGCAAACCAGTCAGTGCTTTCTATGCCGCAGTGCTTGTTTGTTCACAGAGTTACTTAGCCCCTTGGCTGCTCCTTTTGCTTGGCACTGTTTAAAGTTTACAGTACACATCTAAAATTAAATATACAACACTAATGACTATACCTCTGGGAGACTTCTTAAAGTCTCTCTTAATTTGAAGAGTTACATTGACTCCTCTTGCATAAAACTATTGGATGTAATTCCACGAATGAATAATTATCCGTCCGCGGAATGCATCTTATTAATTTTCATTAGCATTATCCGTCTTCTGAAAATAATGTTAACTTTTGTTGCACAGTGTGTTTTCATAAAATATTAAAATTCTTCTCGGGAACGGTGTACATTAAATAATTATACACGGAAGTGTACTTACTGGGAGATATGTGGTATCACATTACAAGTGCATTAATTTGCTGACACATAATAAAAGCTATTGCTGCTTAGGCGAGATTAACAAATAGCACATTCACTTGTGATTTAATTTCGTTTGTTTTAAGTTTGCTTAAAGTGGTTCCAAAGGCTAAAGGTGTTTTAGCATTATGTATTCTACGCATGAAGATAAAAAAATCTTCAGTGTGCAACTCTCCCCACAGTCCCCCCCCCCCCCCCTATACTTACCTGAGCCCAATCCTTATCCCGATCCAACGATGTGCATGAGAGCAGAAGCTCTCCCAGGTCTCTCCCTCCTCATTTGCTGAGACAATCAATGGCAGTGAGGAGGGGGAGGGGCCGAGAGGTGCTCTGTGTGTCTCATAGACACACAGAGGTGGCTCGGGAGCAAGATTAACTAATAGCACATTCACTTGTGATTTAATTTAGTTTGTTTTAAGTTTGCTTAAAGTGGTTCCAAAGGCTGAAGTTGTTTTAGCTTTATGTATTCTACACATGAAGGGAAATAAAATCTTCAGTGTGCAACTCTCTCCACAGCCCCCCCCCCCCCATACTTACCTTAGCCCAATCCTTGTCCCAATCCAACGATGTGCATGAGAGCAGAAACTCTCCCAGGACTCTCCCTCCTCATTTGCTGAGACAATCAACGGCAGTGAGGAGGGGGAGGGTCCGAGAGGTGCTCTGTGTGTCTCATAGACACACAGAGGTGGCTCGGGATCAAGATTAACAAATAGCACATTCACTTCTGATTTAATTTAGTTTGTTTTAGGTTTGCTTAAAGTGGTTCCAAAGGCTGAAGGTTTTTTAGCTTTATGTATTCTACGCATGAAGTGTGGAACTCTCTATTTTGGGTGGAACTTCAGTGTGGAACTCTCCCTGCAGTCCCCCCCCCCCATACTTACCTGAGCCCAATCCTTATCCCGATCCAACGATGTGCATGAGAGCAGAAGCTCTCCCAGGTCTCTCCCTCCTCATTTGCTGAGACAATCAATGGCAGTGAGGAGGGGGAGGGGCCGAGAGGTGCTCTGTGTGTCTCATAGACACACAGAGGTGGCTCGGGAGCAAGATTAACTAATAGCACATTCACTTGTGATTTAATTTAGTTTGTTTTAAGTTTGCTTAAAGTGGTTCCAAAGGCTGAAGTTGTTTTAGCTTTATGTATTCTACGCATGAAGGTAAAAAACCTTCAGTGTGGAACTCTCCCCGCAGTCTCCCCTCCCCCCCCATACTTTCCTGAGCCCAATCTTTATCCTGAACCAGCGATGTGCATGAGAGCAGAATCTCTCCCAGGTCTCTCCTCCTCATTTGCTATGACAATCAGAGCCAGTGAGGAGGGGGTGGGGCTGAGAGGTGCTCTGTGTGTCTCACAGACACACAGAGGTGGTTCGGGATCAAGATTAACAAATAGCACATTCACTTCTGATCTAATTTAGTTTGTTTTAAGTTTGCTTAAAGTGGTGCAGAGGTGGCTCGGGGAGCGACATGCACGAGTGGCCCCAGAGCAAGCAGCTTGGTCTGGGGGCACTCAGCGGTGGGGAGAAGCCAGGAGCACCAGCGGAGGACCCGTGAAGAGGAGAATCAGAGCCTCTCTGTGCAAAACCACTGCACAGAGCAGGTAAGTATAACATGTTTGTTATTAAAAAAAAAAACAAAATTGAACCTTTAGTATCACTTTAATATAGTGAATGTAAATGCTGCTGCCAGAATCATCCACCTTACTAACCGTTCTGTATCTGCTACTGGCCTCCCCTCTCTCTCTGCCAATCCCTCCACTGGCCTCCACTCAGTGTCCTCCATCCCTCTCTGCCAATCCCTCCACTGGCCTCCACTCAGTGTCCTCCATCCCTCTCTGCCAATCCCTCCACTGACCTCCACTCAGTGTCCTCCTTCCCCTCTCTGTTAATCCCTCCACTGGCCTCCACTCAGTGTCCTCCTCCCCTCTCTGCCAATCCCTCCACTGGCCTCCACTCAGTGTCCTTCTCCCCTCTCTGCCAATCCCTCCACTGGCTTCCTGTTGCCCAACGGATAAAATTTAAAACATTAACAATAACCTATAAAGCCATTTATAACTCCGCCCCAAATTACATCACAGACCTTGTCTCTAATTATCACCCAAACTGTACTCCTCGCTCCTCGCACGACCTCCTACTCTCTAGCTCCCTTGTCTCCTCCTCCTATGCTCATCTCCAGGACTTCTCCAGAGCTTCCTCCATCCTCTGGAACTCTCTACCCGAATTTATCAGACTATCACCTACTCTGCTCACTTTTAGGCAATCTCTGAAAACCTATCTCTTCAGGGAAGCCTATCCTGCCCTCAGCTAATAAATGGAATCTTCTACTCTTCCAACCAGTCCATCCCCCACAGTTACTACCTTTTGTACCACTAGCCCCTCCCTCCAAGATTGTAAGCTCCAAGGAGCAGGGCCCTCAAATCCCTCTTTTATTGAACTGTATTGTTGTTGTATTGTCTCCCATTATATTGTAAAGCTCTGAGCAAACTGTTTGAGCCATAAATCCTGTATAATAATAATAATAATAATGTATGATCATGTAGTATTCAGGATTAAAATAAAGCGCTAAGAAAATTTTAAAATA